ATATATATATACAGTATAATTTATCCGCGGCGGAATGCTAAATAAAAAAATGTACGCGCGGATTACATATTGTCTAATACGCGAGCGACGTACTAAACGTTTTATCCTTGACAAAAATAGCGTCTATTGCATTTGCATCGTGTCGTAGCCACGAATTCGCGTTTACGTATGAATTTATTCGCGGCAGAATGTCAAATGAAAAATGTACGGTGCGTGAATGAATCTTTAATTCCGTTAAATGAGCGTTCATTGAAGGCAAAATCAGAGGCATCGGAAATGCATTACAGAAACATGCACATTAAAAGCTATTGCTTTCGAGCCATTCAACCAATTCTATTTTCCTTCAACGCGCGAGCACGGATTAATGTATTCTGCGTAGCACGAGCGCATTGGAAGCTATTGTTAATTCACAGAGGATGAAACGGCCGCTACGCGATACGTCCAGTGTACAGTGCTTACCGTCAACATCACTATCGCGACAATGGCGTGCACAGTGAATTTTTAACGCGACACGAACGTACAGATATCACGTGCGCGATGCACCGCCTGCATTTAATATCTCCCCGCCAAGTATTTGATCGCTCGATCTTCTTCCCACTGTCACGTGTCGACCGCAACCGAAAAGAGGAGCACGCTCGCCGTGTAATGCGGAGAGGCTCGATAGACTACAAGCCGCAGACTCTGGACTGCAGTAAATTTTTCATTCGTTATAAAAATATCCGATTATTGTGGTTATTCCGGCCAAGTGGAATTTATTTATAATCGTTCAGCCACGCTTTGCGCATTATAACAATTTCGATGAGAAACGCCTGTGGAATTGCGATTCTTTTTGCGAAGGTAAACGTAGATTAGTAAATGTGTGAGTCCACTTATGAATTCAGAAGCCTTTACAAGACCAAATGTGTCATATTTTAAATACGCAAACAACACTATGGAATATAGAAACTAAATGGTGTCAAAAAGTGACTTGGGGTGTTTCGGCAATACACGATTCAATTATAAATAAGAATGTTTCCTTGAGCGAAGCCAATAGTGACGGAGTATTAAAAGAGGAATGCTTGTTATTTTCTAGATATCTGTAGGAGCATTTTTACGACGAATTTTTCAATGTGTCACATTCAAACCTGCTTACGATCATTATGCGGTTTATACGAGATACAAAATACGCGCAAAGTATTGGAGCTCTGGCGGTTAATACTTAATAGTTCAATAGTATCGAACTTTTCTTTCAGCGGCTCATTGACCGCTCAAGTCGTTTTCTTCGGAAAGTGTTTCGACATACCCAAAAGTTCGCTCGTTTCCGCTGAAATTATTTCACGATATTTAGATCGCCAATTAATCGTGAAATCACATGGTCCGCTTTCTGTTTTATGCACGAAACTTACGTTATTAATGATGCACATTTCGCGAGCAATTCTGTTACATCTCGTTAAATCAAGTAATTTCCGTTTTTCGCGTGCAAAAACTCCGAATGTACCGCTTTCTTTTTGTAGCTGGTTGGAAATTGATGTGAATATATTGAAAATTACACCGTGGCGTCGAACAATGGGTTTTAACGCGCTATTCGAAATTTCGCCAACAATGTAATGCGACGGGGGGTGCGACGCGACGTGTCGGTCCGCGCAAATTGAAATGGGTATTTCACTTTGCGGAAAACCTGCGAAATAAATCACGTAGCCGAATTTCCCCGCAAAGTGGATATTTCTGATCGGAATTTATATCGGACTCCGAGGACGTCCCGTATTCCTTCCCGCGCATCTATCTGCGTAACGTACGCGTTCCGGTGAACATTTCCAGTATAAATGGATCGCGCCACACGACAAGCATTGCGATACACTTGCAGTCGTAAATTGAACCGTAAGAGGATTCGCGCGTAGCCTTCAGCTACACAAGATCGAAGCTATTTATACCGCTATTTCCGATATACTTTCAGCAGATCACATTAACCTCTCGCGCGGGTGAGCTCCCTTTGATATTGCACAAGATACACTCTGACGCGTAACAAACGCAATTTACATAACTAATGAAATCTTTTTGTAAAATTGTGAGAATGTACGCACCAATGCGCAACGGCGAAGATAATCAAATGGAAGAACTGCGAAACGGGACATTTAAAGAGATAACCGTGTTACATCAATTATCGTAACAAGACAATTTTTAAGAGGATTAAACATCGCAGAAATTGCTTGCGGGACACAACGAGAATATGTCAACGGACGGGAGAAATAAATGTCTGTGAAGTTGGCCCCTCGTTTTCAAAATTTAAGAAAAAAAAATTCAAGTTCTGTTAGCCCCCTGAAGGGTTCTCGAGTTCTCAATCGATTTTAGAAATAGTCCTGCGTTTTAAAACATATAGAAAGTTTAAAGTTTGAGAAATAATCCACCTATATTTTTGCTACGCGGAGCAAGAGAAAATAAAACGTACCCATGTAGACGCGAGATATATTTTTCCGCGTAACAAATGAGGAGGGAGAAGCTGCATATCCCGTAGTTATATCTC